CTACAGTTCATCCATTCTTCTCCACAGCACACACCACCCCAGCCCCATCAGTCCCTCCAGGATTTTTTTTGGGAATGTGCCTGATATAACGCCAGCTTGTGAGGCATATTTTGCAATGTGTTTAGGGATTTGTTGCAAGGAAATGAATGAAATAATATTTCCTTTTGTATAATTCATAAAAAAGATGAGTTTTAATGAAATGGGCTATAGCAAAAGATATGCAGCTCTATGCAGTCGTGGAGGATGCATGATATCAGCATCTGATTAGTAAGGGGGACATTTTTGTCAGCACTGTTTGTTTTGTTTGCCCTAATTAGAAAACCTATTCTTTTAATAAAGACAATGAATAAGTGTCCTTATGTTATTAATCAGAATAAATTTTTCAGAAAAAGAAGGAAACCAAACTGTGAATAAGATAAGATGTTCCTTTATTGATCTCCTGTGGGGGAAATTCTAATTAGCACAGCAGCACAGGGGAATGTAGTGCAAAATAAAAGAATAAATAAAATAAAATATAAAATGTGTGTGTATACATACACTATATTCAAGAAAGAATATAGTAAGCTTTCTAAACATTTTAAAATGTAAAATGTTTTAAAGGTTCAGTAGATAACATTTCCAGTCTAAAAACCTATCAACACTGACTTTCAATTACCAGTAGTGGTGCAATGTCCTGTCCTTCCCATTCTCAGTCATGCTCTCACTTTGATTAGGACTCTGTCTGTTAGTTTCCAATTTTGATATTTGGCATTTTCACACCATCATTATTAGCAGTGGTTCATCACAGAGGCTCTGCTGGCAGCAGCAGCAGCTCTGTGGCAAGGGACTTGAAAGCGTTCCTCCGGTTATTCCCGTGCTCTACTGCACTTCAGCTTTCGGAAGACTGAATCACTCAGAAAAGTCAACAAGAGTCTGTGAAGAGGCTCCTGACGTCTGAATGTTGTATGATGAAGCATCATCAAGACTGCTAATGCAAGCATTAATACAGTGGTTTTTTTTAGAAAAGCGCAGAGATGAGCACTTCACCATCCTTGACATGTCTTCTTCTGGGTGCTGGTTTTTTGGTTGGATATCACTTTTGCATTCACAGATCTCTGAATTTAAAGGTTTTGGTTTTGATAGTAGTTAAATAATGATTTGGACTGGGTGTTTAGGTTGCATTAAAGTCACACAAGTAACAGTTAAATGGTGTCACAGGAAGGTAAAAAGCTTCTTAAAATAATTTATTTTATAATGTGTACAAAGAAAGTACAATGAGAAATGACAAATTGGAATCAGAGAAAAGATTCTTTGTGTCAGAACAGTTCTTAAAATGTGTTTTCATTTTTCTTTTTCACCTTGTGGTGCTGGGCTAAAGAGAAGAAAAGGGCAGGCAATTGGCAGATCTCTAAAAAGTATTGAATTCTGTGTCCTCAAAAAAGCTCTTAAAAAGAATTTCATTCAAGGTGTTAAATATTATTATTATTTTTGGTTTTGAATTATTAGTTATAGTATCATACATAGAGACTACTTTTATTTATTATATCAGCAACTAGTAATACTATCAGTGAGGCCAAACGGGGCCATTACTGAGTACTAAGGCTGTGGCTCAGGAGGTATAGCAGTCTAGTAATCAGAATGATGGTGGTTCGATCCTTGGCTCCTTTCGCGACAGAATGTCCTTGAGCAAGATACTGAACCTCCACATTGACACACCATGTCAATGTGTGTGAATGGGTGAATGTGGCATGTAGTGTGCAGGGCTTTGAGTCTTCAGAAGACTAAAAAGGCGCTATGTTTCAGTGTAATGATTTGATGGGCTGTTGAAATATTACTTTTTTTACAATATGGATAACTTATTGACCTTTATTTAGGTTGAAAGATTTTGCTGCTTATGTTTTGGACCTCTGACCTTTATGTAAAATCCATATATAGACTTTTAAATATAACATTTTAATATATAAGGTCCAGTGTGTAACATTTAGCAGTATCTATTGGCAGAAACAGAATACAATATTTATAGGTATGTTTTCATTAGTGTATAATCACCTGGATATATTTGCTAACATCGGTGGGTCAGATGTGCATATGGTTTTGGCGTATAAGTACTTGGGTGTCACACTGGACAACAAACTGGACTGGTCAGCCAACTCAGAGGCCATCTACAAGAAGGGCATGAGCCGGCTTTACTTCCTGAGGAGGCTCATGTCCTTCAATGTCTGCAACAGGATGCTACAGATGTTCAGTATCAGTCTTTTGTGGCGAGCACCATCTTCTTTGCTGCGGTGTCCTGGGGTGCGGGCATCAAGGCAAAGGACGCCAACAGACTGAATAAACTCATTAAGAAGGCCGAGTCTGTTGTTGGTTTGAAGCTTGCCACCCTGGAGGAGGTGGTGGAGGAGAGGATGCTGGCAAAACTGCTGGCAACCATGGACAATCCCTCCCACCCCCTCCACACAACACTGGACAAGCTAAAGAGCAGCTTCAGCAACAGACTCATTCAACCAGGCTGCTCTAAGGAACGATACAGGAGATCGTTCCTTCCCACTGCAATAAGACTTTATAATAATAATTGACTCTTAGTTAGCTGCTATAACATTATAATTCCTCTTCGGGGATAAATAAAGTATTTCAATCTATAAGAATCATTGTGTTTTGTTACCTTAGAATGAGCTGTTTATCTAAAGGGAGGCAGTCCTCTTCCATGTCTTTTTTTAAATTTTTCAGGGGTTTCACAGCCATCGTAGTTTCTCCTACCGGCTTAAAAGGCTGAGCAGCATTCGGTTAGTTGCAATCTGCAACTTAACCACTACATGCCACCAAATCCTACACACGGGCCCTTTAAATTTGTTTTAAGTAGTTGTATGTGCTATTAGTGCAATCAGCATTGCGGCTTTCAGTTGCAGTTAGCAGTCCCCTCCCTCCTCCCCACTTCATCACACTGAAATTCTGCTGCTGCCCTTGAGGACTGCCTCTTTATGAAGTACTCTCTCCTGACTGGATAAAGTGAGAACAGGCTACAGGAAGTGTATTCTCTGTTTACTGCAGAAAGGAGGGACTGGGAGACCCATGTTACGGACTCACACTCTATGTAGAATAAATGTGTACATATATATTCAATTATATACAACAGAGAATTATAGGCAAAATGTAATATTTAGTAAATTAGTGTACTTAGTAATTAGACTATAACAAATGGTTACAGTAAAGTACAGTGAACAAAGCTGAATTCTATATTCTATCTATAAATGATGACACTGATGATAATTTATTTTTAATTCCATCACTTCTTCAGCAGTGCCACCGCTACTTCTTGCACAGCAGATGCCAAATATGACACAGGCACATGTTTAATCAGAGCCATGACACAGCATTTATGTAATGTAGACCTTTATTTGAAAGCCAGAGAGCCATTACTTAAACGGATACTGTCGATGGAGTCAGCAATGTTACAGACTTCATGTTGGAAAAGGACCTTCAATGGATAAAACTGAGCCTACTGACTGTAGGTGTGTTCCAATAACATATTCTGATGCACATTTTGAAACGAAATTAACAAAGGAAAACTTGATGGGAGATGGAAACCCTTTTTTGACCTATAAGCCCCCCTGCTGGAAACACTTCTCCATCTCATTCAATCCTTCAGGTCATTTTACGGAAACCATGTGCACTGAAGTATCAAATGATCAAATTAATGATTTGTAGATTTGTTTACATAAACAATCTGATAGTAATTTCCATCTTACAAGAGTTTTGTGCAAAAGGAATGAAAGACCTGCCCTTATAGAGGCCTGTTCCAAACAAAGGCAGGTTGAGTTCAATGACTGAAGCAAATAAAAGCCCAGGCTTTAATTGAAGATTTTATGGTAATCACATAATGATAGTGGATGGTATCAAGCATTGATTGGCATTTACTGTTGCTAGTGTATTGAAAATTTGGTTAAAATTTGCGATACATTTGATGGGAACATGGCTACTGTGACCTAGAGTCAAATTGCTTGCATGTGTGGAAGCATACTTGCGCTTTCGACAGGTAAGTGACCAGTTAGAGGCCATTTAAGAGACCTGTAACTTAATATCTGATAGGTAGGTGGAAAAAGTCAGTCAGTCCGCCCTTTAGAAGCTGTGCTACAATCTCCTGCACTTCAATTTACATAATATGGAAACACTTGATCTTCCTTCACTACCCTGCCATCATCCATCACACAGACAGTCATAAACTATTCAGTGGAGCTCAGCTTCCCAACTGTTTTAAAGAAAAGTGACTTATAACCCCCCTGCTGTGTATAGAAATACAGAGGGAGATTTTTCTATACGCACATTAATACTGTTTGAGATTAAAGGTTTAAATGGAGGGCATAGATTACACATTTATTTAAACGTATATATTTTATTTTACAAATGTTCATTCTTCCATTCCTAGATATTCTTAAAGTTATAGGGGACAAGAATCCACCCCAGCATGCAATGGTTCAAAGGCAAGGACACAGACAGACAGAGACACTTACACCTATGGCTGACCTCTCTCTTCTGTCTTTAGGTGTCTTTCATTTACATTCACTCCAGTAGATGGATGAAGACATTGAAGTTGCCTTTTGGGGGGGGGGGGGGGGGGGGGGGGGGGGGGGGGGTGTGTGTGTGTGTGTGTGTGTGTGTGTGTGTCTGTGTGTGTCTGTGTCTGTGTCTGTGTCTGTGTGTGTGTCTGTCTGTGTGTCTCTCTGTCTGTGTGTCTCTCTGTCTGTGTGTCTCTCTGTCTGTGTTTGCTGCAGGCCAAATCTCCCATCTGCAGAGCAGATGGAATGTGCCCCCGCACCACTTGGCCAGTTAGCTTCCTGGCTCGTGGCTAGCACTTTAGCCCTGCCACTTGCCAGCCACCAGTATGCTCAAAGCTAACTTCTGCAACAGTCTGCGGCCTAACTTGATCTCTTGAACGTCGAGAACTTTTTTTACTCACATGTTGATTTTAGAGCCTTACTTAAAAACACTAATCTCTGTGCGTCTGTCTCCCTTCTGTCCCGCAGTCCCCACGGTAAAGACCCCTCCTCTGGGCCCCGTGGCCCTCGCGGCGGTGATTGCTGGCCCGGTGTGTGTGCTCTGCCTGCTGCTGGTCTTGGCGTTCTACGTTTGTCACAGCCACAGGGCCCTGGGGGCCGGGGGTGCTGGTGCCCATCATCACCACCACCACCGGGTGCCCAACGAAGAGGACCCCTCCATGGACCACCCCTTCATCACTGTCGGAACAACGCTGAAGGACCTCATCTACGACATGACCACCTCAGGCTCTGGATCCGGTATGGTGGGCGGTAGCCTGGGCAGATTCTCTCTGTGTCTGTGTCTGTGTCTGTGTGTTGTGTTCATATGATGATTTGATGATTGTGAAGCCGCTGCTTAGCTTAGTATAAAGACTGGAAACAGGGGAAATAGCTAGCCCAGCTCTGTCCACAGGGAGCATACTCCACCTACCAGCAGCTCTAAAAAAAATCTATGGGTTGTAAGCAGTGACGGCTGGTGGAGAATTTGGGTGGGTGGGCTAACAAATGCATTACACTCACCAATACGCCACACAGCAGCAACAGTAGCATCACATCAAGTTTTATATATATATATATATGAAAAGTCTACACACCCCTGTTAAAATGCCAGGTTTTTGTGATGTAAAAAGATGAGACAAAGATAAATCATGTCCAAACTTTTTCCACCTTTTAATGTGACCTATAATGTGAACAATTCAATTGAAAAACAAACTGACATCTTTTAGGTGGAAATATAAAAAATAAAAAACGTATAATAACCTGGTTGCATAAGTGTGCACACCCTCTTATAACTGGGGATGTGGCCAGGTTCAGAAATGACCAATCACATTCAAACTCATGTTAATTAGTAGTCAGTACACACCTGTCATCATTTAAAGTGACTCTGATTAATCCCAAATAAAGTTCAGCTGTTCTAGTAGGACTTTCCTGACATTTTCTCAGTTGCATATCAGAGCAAAAGCCATGGTCCGCAGAGAGCTTTCAAAGCATCAGAGGAATCTCATTGTTAAAAATTATCAGTCCGGACAAGGATACAAAAAAAATTCCAAGGCATTAGATATACCATGGAACACAGTCAGACAGTCATCATCAAGTGGAGAAAACACCACACCCACAGTGAAGCATGGTTGTGGCAGCATCATGCTTTGGGGCTGTTTTTCTTCAGCTGGAACCGGGGTCTTAATCAAGGTGGAAGGAATTATGAACTGTTCCAAAATATCAGTCAATTTTGGCACAAAACCTTCAGGCTTCCGTTAGAAAGCTGAAGATGAAGAGGAAATTCACCTTTCAGCACGACAACGACCCAGAGCATTCATCCAAATCAACAAAAGCATGGCTTCACCAGAAGATCAATGTTTTGGAATGACCCAGCCAGAGCCCAGACCTGAATCCCATTGAGCATCTGTGGGGTGATCAGAAGAGGGCTGTACACAGGCGATGCCCTCGCAATCTGCCAGGTTTTGGAGTGCTTTTGTAACGAAGAGTGGGCAAATATTGCCAAGTAGAGATGTGCCATGCTAATTGACTCCTACCCAAAAGACTGAGAGCTGTAATAAAATCAAAAGGTGCTTCAACAAAGTTCAAAATTAGTTTAAGGGTGTGCACACTTATGCAACCAGGTTATTATAAGTTTTTTATTTTTCCCCCTACAAGATTTCAGTTTGTTTTTCAATTGAATTGTTCACATTATAGGTCTCATTAAAGGTGGGAAAAGTTTACATCACAAAAAACCGTGTGTTCCCAATCTCTGAACTTCCAATTTTTCCTCCAAAGACTTTTGACTTTTTGAAAATTGATTATAAAGTGAATAATCCACCTTCATGTTCATGCTAACGCCCGTCATACTACGAACTAGGCTCACTGTACTGTAGCTACTGTGCTGTGATTGGTCGAAGGTCACTGTACTGTAGCTACTGCGCTGTGATTGGTCGAAGGTCAGCCTTTGGGCTGAATGAATTTAGCCCAAATGGCTTCAATGGCATATGAAGGGGGCGTGTCAGGACACCTGTCAATCACAAGTCAATGGAAGCTTACGCTACTGTGCTTGGGCTGAATACATTTAGCCCATTTACAGGAAAAAACCCAGGGTATATCATATATCCTGGGTTTTTTCTGTCACTTTTTTGGTGCTGTTGTTGCTCTAGGTTCTACCAAAATTCAAAACAATATGTTCTAAGGTTTTTAATAATAGTTTTTCATCTTTACTGTAAAAGATAGGGGGGCTGATCAGGGGGGTCACGTGATGGCGGTGAGCTGAGCAGACGCTTTTGGTAGAGCTCCGTGCCACTCGGTGCTAATTTTCTCATTATCCTGACAACATCCGGGCCCTACAAGACATTTTTGTTATGAACATAACAGGCTATGTCCTTGGAAAACTTTTGGCCACAGTCCTTCGCCAAGGTGGGAAGAACCAGAGGAAATAAAGACAAAAAAGACGCCTCGTCCGAGCCCGGCGACGACACACAAGATGGCGACCAGGCCGAATTTGATACCGCAGACGGGCTTGACCCTGCCCTTGCTAAAGCTCTGAGCGTAATGACCTCCAACATTATTAAAGTTATTGATGAAAAACTTTGTCCTCTGGCCGAGACTATCCACAAGCATGCTACGGAGCTCCAGGCCGCTAGCAAGCGGCTAGATGAAGCAGAGGCTAGGCTACTAGCAGTTGAAAACTCCGCCGAAGCACAAGAGCCGAGGATTGTGGAGCTGGAGAAGCAGGTCCGCACCCCCACAGAGAGTTTGGACATGGCCGAGAACTACAGCAGACGCCTAAACATTCGTGTTGTCGGCTTGGCGGAGGATACGGAGACTGGGCAGCCGTTGGACTTTTTGAGTCATGGCTACCCACGAGAAATCGCCATGAATGTTGGAAAAGACGAGGCCATATGCCGGAAAATTTGGAAGAACCTCCGCAACTGATTTGGAAAATAAAAAAATAAAAAAACCTTTTCTTCTTCTAGTGCCTAGAAATAGCAAAGCAAAGCTCGGTATACTCGCCGTTCTCGACCAGTCGCGCGACAATGTGACGTCACGGGAGCGCCGTAACTATTTATACTTGCGCTGGTGGTGGCGACACTAGTTGCAGTCTTCTCCTGAACAGAGGTGTCGCTACTGAGGAAAGGCTACCGACTTTGCTATTTAAGTCCAACTCCCCCCCCCTCTTGGATGCTATAAGGGCAGACTTATGGTGCGTTCGTTTTGTCCACCTGACTCGATCTCCGAGTCGGTTTCCTGAGTTACGAACTGGAAGTTGCAAATAGAAAGCTCCCGAGGACGTATAAAACGACTCGTTAAGTCGTCTGAACTCAGAGGACCCCGAGTTCAGTTACCAAGATGGCTACTCCGAGCATCACACGTAGTAAACATTGTGGTTTTCTACAATTTTAAACACTCTTGTCTTTGTTGTAACCAAATGAAGAAGTCGTACACACAGCACTGTATACTGTTACCTATAGGCATGTCGCTACAGTCTTATTATGTGTTAAATACGCCTAATTAGTTATTTTGTAGCTTGTGCAGCTGAAATTGGCTAGACGCTCCATGTTGCCATGACAACAGTGCCGAGTCTTAAGCAGAAAGCAGAGCAGTAGCGTAACGTTAACGTTAATCAAAATTCAGATCTCAAACTGTGAAATATGATTGTGTAATATGTAATGAACATGTGAAATCCGTGGTGGGTGCACCGTAAACCAGATAATCACTATAAACGTTACGAAACGTCCAAACTGCCTATTGCAACCAAGCTCGTCGTGTTGTGTGCCAAACAGAACGCAAAAACCCGCGGTTACTCTTTTTCAAACACGGATGTGACGTCGCTCTCGAGCTGCAAGTCGCAATTACAAGACAAAACGAACGCACCATTAGACCGCTGGGCCCCTCTACCTCTTTCCTGGCTAGGTAGGCTTGCTCTCATAAAAATGAACGTCCTGCCTAGACTGCTATACCCACTGCAAATGATCCCTATCTTATTATCCAGCAAGGTTATTAAGGTGCTTGAAGGCTGGCTAGGCTCCCTTATTTGGAGTAAAAAGAAGCCCCATCTCAAGATGACAAAACTTCAAATGGCAGGTTGTGATTGAGGGTTACATTTACCAACTCTCAAATTTTACCAACTGGCATCACACCTGCGGGTGATTGCAAGCTGGCGCAACTGTGATCCAGCCTCGATTTGGCATGATATTGAATCCTCTCAGTCAAAGTGTCCCTTGCTGAATTTATTGTTTATAAATAATCCTGATTCTGTTAAAAAAACATGCTCTAACCCTATTACTCTCAGTACCATCAGAGCCTGGAGATCCATTCGCTCTATAGAAGGCCGGGCTCAGTTATCATCTCCTCTCACTCCCATTCTTGATAACCCGGACTTCCTGCCAGGCTGTAAGGACCAGGGCTTTAAAGTGTGGAGCACCCAAGGGCTGAAGAAAATAGGTGATCTATTCAATGGCCAGATTTTACTACCCTTTCAGCAGTTGCAACAGCAATTTGGTTTATTTAATCAAGGTGACTTCTACAGATATTTACAAATTAGAGATTTCATAGTTAAAGACACCACCTTAATGTCTAATAACACCACTTCATGTGTGGAGAAGGCCCTGTCTCTACAGATTAGTAAGAAATGCATTACTGTTTTTTACAGAGCTCTGAACTCTTACTCTTACCTCACGAACTACCAAGCAAGCTTGGGAAAAAGATCTAGGCGTTGTTATAGATGATGCTGACTGGCAGGAAGTCTGGTCTCAGGCCATGAACATTTTTGTGTGTAACCGCGCCAAATCCATACAGTTCAGGATTGTGCATCGCACGCATATAACACCTTTTGTCAAGAACAAAATGGACGCTAATATCTCCCCGCTTTTCTGGAAATGCAATTCTGAGACTGGTAATTATATTCAATATGGATGGACCCTATGTGCCTGATACTTGGTCTCCCGGATAGTCGGATCACTGACAGTAAACACAGAGGACTTTTCAATATACTGAACTTTGCTGCTAGAAAGAACATCTTATTCTTCTGGATCAAGAATGTTGCTGGGACAAAAAAATCATGGCACAACATTGTTATGGACTGCGTTCCTAGTGAATACATCACGTGCATGCTTCGCTTAGCCCTGTTAGCCCTGTTAGCCCATATATACCAGCCGTCCCTGGATGTAAGTAAATATAGAAAAATAACATTGTGATATTCTGTTTTGTGATATTGTATTGATTCTCAAAAACATGATTGATTTTTCTGTTTAAACTTACAACCTTTTTACTCAGATTTGATGTATTCTGTATATAGACATGTGTTCTTTATACTATGAACGTTCTAAAAAGTTGCAATATATATCTTCTTCACATATCACAATATATCTCAATATATTGACAGGGTTCCCACACATCCTGGAAAACCTAGAAATTTTGAGCCTAATTTCCCAGTCATGGAAACACCTAGAAATTCATTATATGACTAAATGTCTTCCAAATGATTTCTTTACAAAGAGGGGTAACCCTGACCTACATTTTAGGGTTGTTTTAGTTTGTGCGACCCTGTTTGTGTGAGAATGTAACTAGATTGTAAAGGACTTGGGAGATCACACACTGTTCTCATCCGCTGTGTGTGCGCGCATGTACAGCAGTAAGACCCTGCAGCTGCACACATCTTAAAGTAAAAGTCTATTACAAAGACTGGCTGGCCCAGATTCAGGCTGCAAAAACACACACACACACACACTCTACCCTGGCAAAAGCTGTTCTTTATGCTTGCCATAAATTAGCACCTCTCTGTGGAGACTGGCACTTCAAGCACTGTGCCAAGGAAAGACTTGGATTCTAGCTGTCGCCACCATATTGCACAATATGCAATTGTGTGTGTGAGTGATACAGTGTGTTTGTGTGTGTGTTGGCAGAACTGTGTGGGCTGTTTTAATCAGAGTCGGAGTATGTGTGCGGTGCCTGTTGAAATCTGAGCAGGGTTTTCATTCCACTGTAATCTTCTGTTTTCTCATCAGCAGTGTGCCAAACGAGTGAGCTGACAGAGTTACAGTTCTTACACAGTTTTTGCTCATTGGGAATGTAACTGACCAAATGGGTTTGCAAGAGGAGCCAACTCTACTGCACTTCACCAAACAAACTTCTAAAAAGGCTTTGATACTAATGATAGCTAACTGCAGGGTTTTTGTCCTGAAGGTACACTTTTATCAGAATATGTGATTTTCTGGAGTAATTGAGAAGATAAAAACCACATGTTTATCTCCACTAAACTAGTACCAACTGTTCGCTGGTGCTTCCCCTGAGAAAAATACACCACTCAGAGAAGTGTGACATAAAGCACACCCATACTGTTAATGACAAACAGTGTGACTTCATTGTACAGTGACTTCACATTAAATAAACTGTTTAGTGTGCACGGTAGCTTTACAGTTCCTGTATTTGCCTGGTTGTCCTCTGTCCTCCTCTGATGGGATTCACTGCCTGGTAGAAACAGAATGGGCTGGATTGTCTCAGCCAGTTTACATGAATTTGACAAACCAAGCTAAAGACATACAGCAGGTAAAATAAGTATTGAACACGTAACCATTATTCTCAGTAAATATATTTCTAAAGGTGCTATTGACATGAAATTATCACCAGATGTCGGTAACAACCCATGCAAACCACACATGTAAAGAAATCAAACCATAGATGTCCATAAATTAAGTTATGTGTAATAATGTGAAATGACAGGGAAAACGTATTGGACATATGATGAAAGGGAGGTGCAAAAAGGCATGGAAAGCCAAGACACCAGCTGAAACCTATCAGTAATTAGAAAGCAATCCTGCCACTTGTCAGTGCAAATTAATATCAGCTGGTTCAGTCCCAACTGATGGCCTATAAAAAGGTGTCTCATCACCAAGGTGTCACACAAGAAACATCTCATGAGGGGTAAAACCAAAGAGCTCTTGCAAGACCTTTGCAACCTTATTGTTGCAAAACATGCTGATGGCATTGGTTACAGAAGGATTTCTAAACTTCTGAATGTTCCAGTGAGCACTGTTGGGGCCATAATCCGGAAGTGGAAAGAACATCATTTCACCATAAACCGGCCACAACCAGGTGCTCCTCGCAAGATTTCTGACAGAGGAGTGAAAAGAATTATCAGAAGAGTTGTCCAAGAGCCAAGGACCATTTGTGGAGAGCTTCAGAAAGACCTGGAATTAGCAGGTACAATTGTTTCAAAGAAAACAATAAGTAATGCACTCAACCGCCATGGCCTGTATGCACTCCATTGCTGAAGAAAAAGCACGTTGAAGCGCATTTAAAGTTTGCTGCACAACATTTAGACAAGCCTGTGAAATACTGGGAGAATATAGTCTGGTCAGAGGAGACCAAAATTCAACTCTTTGGATGCCATAACACACAGCATGTTTGGAGGTCAAATGGCACTGCACATCACCCCAAAAACACCATACCAACAGTGAAGTTTGGAGGTGGGAACATCATGGCTGTTTTTCAGCATACTTCTTATAACAATCTTCATATAACTGAAGGAAGGATGAATGGAAAAATGTACCGAGACATTCTTGATAAAGTTCTGCTGCTATCTACCAGGATGATGAAGATGAAACGAGGTTGGACATTTCAGCAAGACAATGATCCCAAACACACAGCCAAGGAAACTCTCAATTGGTTTCAGAGACAGGAAATAAAGCTGCTCCCCATACAGGAGGCGTCTTGAAGCTGTCATTACCAACAAAGGCTTTTGTACGAAGTATTAAATTTCAGTAAGCGTGTTCAATACATTTTCCATGTGTCATTCCATTTTATTACACATAACTTTAATTTCTGAAATGATTTATTTTGGTTTCTTTGCATGGGTTGTTACCGACATCTGGTGAAAATTTCATGACAATAGCACCTTTTAGAAATATATATTTAGTGATTTAAAAATGGTGACGTGTTCAATACTTATTTTACCCGCTGTATATATGGAGGAGCTGCAGCCCCAACAAACTTGATATTTACAAGGGTTTTTATCCCAGGGGCCCGTTTAGTACCTGGTTTTGGTACCCATCCCTATATAAATAAGTTGTTGTGTTTCAGGCAGATTCTCGCTATGTGTTTATGCACATGTTCATATCATGACAATGAAAATCCAATTTATCGGTCAGTCCCACATATAATAAGGGAAAGTAATAAAGCCCATAACATGATATTAAACAGCAATGCAACACACAGCTGGACAAATTCTGTCTGTGTTCATCGTCACAGTAGTTATTTATCTTTTTCCTGAGAAAACAAAGCTGTAGACAGATTTGAGATGCTGTACAAGCAGTACAAGGCAACATGGTATCCAACCAGATAATAAAAGATATTCAAATGAGAGCTGATAACTACACTTGTATAAATTCTGGATTATTGGCAAATATATTAAAGGGGACCTATGATGCTTATTCATGTTACAGGCCCAGAAGTAGCGGCAGATATTCAGATATTTTCCTTTTATTTCTCAATCTTTCTACCGTCCTCCTTTTAGATTTTTCTAAACAAGCTTTTTTTAAATGTTTTTTTTCCTCCAGGCCTGCCACTGCTGGTCCAGAGGACCATCGCCAGGACCATTATCCTCCAGGAGAGCATCGGGAAGGGCCGTTTCGGGGAGGTGTGGCGGGGTAAGTGGCGTGGCGAGGAGGTGGCCGTAAAGATCTTCTCCTCCCGCGAAGAACGCTCCTGGTTCCGCGAGGCTGAGATCTACCAGACTGTGATGCTGAGACACGAGAACATTCTGGGCTTCATCGCTGCTGACAACAAAGGTGAGAGACCTCGGGGAGAGCTCTGACAGGCCAGATTCATGTAAGACTGCGCATATAGCTGGAAGAACAGAAGATAAATCAGACTGGAGCCGGCAGGATGACATTAGAAACACCTAACATAAAGAAATGAATGAAAGTATGAAGCAAACAGATTACGCTATTGTGAGGCTAATTAAATTGCTATCAGAGTTTAGATTCAAGCGTATCAAGTCCTTCTCCATCAGGCTTATCTATAGAGGACAGTGTGGGCTGCTGTAATTACAAGTGAACCTTGAGCAGTTGGAGCAGAAAAGCAGCTCTGCTAAAGGTGAAGTTGGTGCAGGCGAGTGTTCGCGGTGAGACAGGCTGGTAGACAGTGTGGGGGAGTAACGGTTCGCAGCGAAGGCCGAGCACACATTACCACACAGTCTAACAGCTCAAGCAGCACCAAAGATATAAATTTTAACATCACAGGATTTTTTGTGGACTCAAAATGATTCCATTATATATATATATATATATATATATATCATCCAAAAGATGATTTTCTTTCTTATTCACTTCACTCAAAGCTTGATGCGAACCCTCAGAAAGCTCAAACTATATTTTGTTTATAAGAAAAAGAGGAACAAGAAGAATAAAAATATTTTTTGAAATAGTTTGGTTTTTTAGTTCATTCATAGTTCAAGCTCATTTTAGGACCATACTAAAGTTGTCTCTTCATATTCAGGTATTTGTTGAAAGCCTGAGGACATACAAGCAATAATTTCAAATTGTGCTTATAAAACTGTAGTAGTACCACTCACATGGCATATATGAACAGCTTCAATGTTTCTGAAAATAACAATATACAATACTAGGACATGTAGGGACAGTGCCTTAAGATTAAATAAGTCAGGGTCTAACGATTTATTTCTGGAAGAGCAGAACCAGGACAAAACCACCTTCATCCTTAACTGCATTTCTCCTTGCTCATCTTCCTGTCTCTGTGTAGATAACGGGACCTGGACTCAGCTGTGGCTGGTGTCTGACTACCACGAACACGGATCCCTGTTTGACTACCTGAACCGTTACACCGTCACCGTGGAGGGCATGATCAAACTGTCCCTGTCCACAGCCAGCGGCCTCGCCCACCTCCACATGGAGATAGTGGGCACGCAAGGTAAAACACACACACACACACACACACACACACACACACACACACACAGACACAGACACAGTATGGCTGCGGAAGCATTATTGACAAAGACAAGCTGAACTTTTGTCTTGCTCGTAGTCCATCCATGCATTTGAGTTGGTGGATGGATAGTAGTAGCTAGCTAAACAGCTACTGTAGCCGAGAACACCAAGGCAGTTGTAATATTAACCATTTTCCACCAAAGTGTTTTCACAGTCCTGGCCCGGAAGACTGGGTCTAGCGCAGCACCACCTCTTTGCTGGTTAGAACCAGGAATTGTTTACATGCGGTGGTAGCTTAACCATGGTAACAATAACTAATGTTGGAGAAGTATACAGTGAAGCAAATTGGTTCTTCGAAGGTTCTCAGGTCTGAACTGGCATCAGCACTAGGTTCACATTGGTGGAATATATATCTGTGCTAAGTGAAAATAAAGGCGTAGGGGTCAAAGGAGGATACTTCACTTCGCTTTATCTAAATGTGTCTTGGTGCTCCTTTTCCACTTGAACTCCCACTCCCATTGTTACGGACTGACATTCAAAAGATGTGGTGATTGAAATGTTACTTCAAACCCAGCCCTGGAGTCCTCAAAGGAGCTGCACATGATATCCAAGAACCAAGTGTCAAAGCAAAATCATCCCCTTTTCTGTCTTATATTCAACATTCACATATACATAAGTATAGAGTGTTCAGTTATTCTTATCTAGTGTCAGTCAGTGCAAGTTGTTGAGTCGATGATGCTCTTTCTCCAGGGAAGCCAGCGATTGCCCACAGAGACCTGAAGTCAAAGAACATTCTGGTGAAGAAGAACGGGACCTGCTGCATCGCCGACCTGGGTCTAGCTGTCCGCCACGACTCGGCCACTGATACCATCGACATCGCTCCAAATCACAGAGTGGGAACCAAACGGTAACTGCCTGCTCCATAGACCCCTTTTTTTTATGTCACTTTTCTTTAAAACTAAGGATTGGACCTCCTCTCCTCTGTCTTGTTCTGTATCCACTCTGGTTCTGTCAGGAGGAAACTGGAATCCTCTGGCTCGGCTATTTTGACTATCTTTCATTATGACACAAGTATTCTTTAGGGATAAACTCCCCTCTGCTTCCCCATTCAGGCAGGTGCAATGTTGTCACTGTGAGTGAGTGTTGTGGTGTTTCACCACCACAGTGAATTGAGGGTGTAAATAAAGAAGTCGGGTCATTAGAGTGATGGGCTATCTGCCTCAACTGTTCAGATGCTAAGAGGTGACTGTTTCAGCTCTCAGGTTTATCAGGACTGCTTCAAATCAATCATCTTGTCACTTTTGGCCAGCCGGGTCGTTCCAGAGGGTGGAAAGTCTCAGCTGGTGCTCAAAGTAGCAGGGATAGGGTTAGGCATTGTGTTTACACTGACAGGCCGGGCCACTGAGAACCCGAGGACAGCATAAACCTCGAAATGAATCTACTGTCTTGCACATGGGATTTATTACAATAATAAATATAGAATTTCACTAGATTAATCCCACCAGCAGAAATCAGAACATGTGTGTGTGAAAACACATGGATGTGCAGGGCTCAACAATAAGGATTGCCAATTACCTTTCCAAAAGTTGAAAATCAAACAAAAACATGTTTGATTAAAGCCAAACAACAATACACTATGTTACAGTAGCCACACAGAGAGCTAATAAGTGTCCAGAATACAGGTGGCTTCTCACTTTCCCTTTCCCTTTGTGTTTCTCTGTCCACACGTCTCTTGTTCTATAATGCAGACTGGTGTCGCCGCAGGCTTGGAAAGTGAGTGGTACATCGAAGCCGCAGGCTGCACTCCAACACTCTTTCCCTTTCTTGTTCCCACAGTGATGGTAGCATAGCTTTTGTCCCGCTCTGTTTTTATCGCTCCCTCTGTTTTTTTTTTTGTTTTTTTTGTTTACAACTTCCTCTTGCCCCTTTCTCTGTGCGGCGGCTTGATGCTGCAGGCGTATTACAGCGCCACTAAATGATTCAGTAAGCCGTGGTTCAGTGGAGACAGAAGCTCTGGCCTTGGCTAAAGCTCATGTTACATACTGATGATCTGATCCTCGCAGAGTTTATTTTTTTTACTTTCTATCAGAATGTCAAACTTCTGGAAAAGAAGTGTCCAACAAGAAAGTTACACTTTCAGACGTCACTATTAGACAATGTGATTTGGTGTGAAATGTGAATCTAGGTCTTTCAATAAAATTGTGTAATTTAACTGAGGCATGTTTTAGCACCATTAAATTCTAGTCTGTCATCATTGAAGTTTTCATATCATCCTATGCCAAGTAATGTCAGGCTTTTTGCCTTTTGTTAGTTAGATAGCTCAAGAGAGATAGGAAAGACAAGGTTCCCACGTTTCCAGGAAAACCTGGAAATTTCGGAAAGCGGAAATATTGGCTGTAGTGAGAAGAGCCAAGCACACTGCGAAAGCAAGCTGTCACTTAAACAAATGACCAACGTTTGTGAACAAGTGCTGTCCTGTACCTGAACTGTGAAAGAGAAAGACGGAGGGGAATGCTGTGGTTTTTTTAGCTACAGAGAAGTTACAATGTGTTGTAGATTGCTGTCTTATCTACTGCATTACTATCAACCAAGCCATATGTACGAGGTTTGTGGTCAAAGTTGAATTCATAAGCAATAAAACACTCTTGCATGGTCCAACACACTCAGGGGTTTTACTGCTGCTGCCTTACTTGGTCTGGTGTGACCAGTAGCTTATGCTAGCTAATGTTAGCAAACCTGGGATGGAGGGCTGCTGCAGCAAGGACTTAGCCTTGTACAAGGTGAGCTATCCAGGCGCCCCACCTTTGGCAGATATTGTTATGTAACATTACCGAGTCAGTTTGCTGACTTGATGACTCTATTATTCTCTAGTTGAGCTAAAAGCACAATTGAAGTTAAAATTAAAATTTCGCTAGAGCGTTGCAGTACATTTTTGACTTTTGTTCAAAAAAAGAAAAATGGCACCTCACTGCTTATATAAACATTGATCAAATATAATGTGGTTATTGGAGAGATTTAGAGATGCTGGTAAGTGAATTCTGCCAAATTCCATTTGCTCAAAGTAAGGTTAACAGTTTCCAGTATTTATGGTATGGTAAGCTAAGCTAACCATCTACTGACTGTAGCCTTATATTTACTAAACAGACATGCAAGTGGGATCGATTTTCTCATTCAGCTCCTGGCAAGAAAGCAAATTTGTGCAATTCCCAAAAAAAAGTCAGGGTCTACCTTCTTGCTTTTTTGGGGAGAGATTTCATCCAAATCTCTGTCTTAATTAGTGAATTGAGTTTGGATGGTTGTCATGTAATGATGACAGTTGGTCTTATATGGGTGAGGCAATTGTAACCATGCCAGCTCATATGACTGGATATATCTGTATATATATATATATATTATATATATATATGTTAATGGTGTTTTATTTTTGATTTGGAGCACATATTCACAGTATGCAGTATTATTATTATAGTTATAGAGGCCAGAGGTTCAGATTGTGGTACAAGTAACCTCATGTTCTTGGCCGTGACTGTGATAAAGTGTTTAACAGAAGCAATGATTATACATGTAAAAGGATGTCAGTGTTAAAATATTTTTGTTGAAAGACTTTAACAGCATTGAATAGCATGCACATATCAAGCAGGATTTGAATTATCTGAAGCCAGAGATGACAGAGCTGCGGTTCAGAGCAGTTTCCTGCAGTGTCTGAGGAAATGGCACAGCAAGGCAGATACAGTAAAGTTGTTGAGGGTCTCATCAGAAGGTTCCTTTAGAAGCTGTTCAATCATATTGGAGCAGCAATGATTAGTCGATTAATCAATTATTTGTCAACTATTATATTAATCGCTAATCAAAACTATTTTAAGTCATTTTTAAAGAGAAAAGGTCTCTGATTTCAACTTTTCGAATGTGAATATTTTCTGGTTTCTTTAGTCTTCTATGATAGTAAACTGAAGATATTTTGGTTGTGGACAAATCAAGACATTTGAGGACGTCACCTTTGGCTTTTTCTACCATTTTCTGACGTTCTGTGGACCAAACAACTAATCGATTCATTGAGAAAATAATTGACAAAATAAATAATGATGAAAATATTTTTTTTGTTGTAGCCCTCATATCACATGACCTCCATCTGAAGTTGCCAAACTGTCATGAAATTGTAGATTTTCAAATTGGAGCTTTCAATCATCATGTATAAATGGACCTTGTGGTGAGGTGTTCTCAGCAGCTGTTTCCAACAAGATGAACGCTGCCATCCAAAGTAATGGGCGAGTATATTGTGACAATTAGTCCTCATAGCTGGTATTAGGGTGTTTCTTTTTGCCAATTTGGTTTGGTTCATTTGGGCTGGTTTGAAAGCTGTCATTAAAGCTCCGTTGAGAACCAAACAACTGGATGGAGACCACTTGAAATGGTGGGTCTCACAACACTACCGGATGGTGGTTTGTGGACCAACAATAGGATTTTGTGATAATAGATGTGTGATTGTAATATGAATTCAAAAGCTAAGCTATATTTGAATCCATCCTGCTGAAGGTGGGAACTATCAAGGAGACATCTGTTGATATTGTGATAATGATTATTTAATGTCATCTGGTGACCATGTCCAACACAGTGGGTGAAACATAGCAACCACTCAGGTTCAGTAATCAGAATCAGAAATACTTTATTAATCCCAGGGAGGAAATTTGTTGTGTGGCATGACTTGCTGTCAGTCTGAATTTGATTTCCTTCTGTGACCCTATCGTGACGTCATCCAGTGGTTTGTGGAGTACGGTTTTAAAGCCCCAAGTTCAGCATTATGGCCGTCCCCATGTTGGTTATCGGCAGCCAGTGGCAGTGACATACTGTGAGTTGAGCAGCGCACATTGGTTGAGATAACTTTCAATTCATTCGTAGCAGGAAGCAATGGTGGCTCAAACGATCACACATTTTATCGTATTCCATAAACGGTACACTGAAATATGTTTCTAAAACGATTTTAGGGTAGAAATGGGCAATGCAGTAACATAATCTGGATCCATATTAGATCAGCACTGCCTAGTTTGACAGTTTGATCTGAGTTTGGTGCGTTGAGCTGGACGGACTCACTGAGAACGACCTGTCAATCACAAGGTATCCCAGCCCTAAAGCATACCCTGCTTTATCACCTATTTTACTCTAAATGGGACTATCATTTACTAAGTGAACATCATGCTGTATGGAAGAAGACTAAAACTAGAGATTGAAACCATAAAGTCTTTAGAAAACTAAGCTAATAAATCAAGTCAGTAGTCGGCTCATTTCTCCATTAGACTCAATACTATCAGACTTTTTTATTGCAGCCCATCGAGCTGCTCTCTGCCGGCCATTAGAAAGAATGCAGGTTTAAGACACTACCATGATGGCTGCACTTCACAGACCCAGAGCTGTGTCCGCTAATTACATACTGTCAGTGGTGGGTCCATGTAGCACTGACAATGCAGGATGACATCACCAAAACAGTCCAATGAATGAGTTACCTGTCAGCCCATGTGACTTTGTTTACTGTACTTGGTATCTATGCCATTTTTAGTAGAATAGTGTTTTTTTCTTTGGTCCAGATCACATGAACTGAACTGCAGTCCATCTTGTACATTCAGAGATACAGCAGTTTTTCAAGGAACATTATTGGGCGTTGATAAAGAAACATGGCAGCAGCAGTGCAGTTGTGAGCAGTCAGTGAATCTTTCACTACTATCTACAGGATCCCAGTAACCCCAAAGACTTTTTGAGATGCTCTCCATTAGTAAAGAATGATAGATTGAAGCTTATAATCTATTCTTGATAATGTTCGGGCACTGGTTTTATTTAAACACAATCTTCCTCTCCTACAGACTATTTTAAACTGTAATATAGGTGTATATAAAGACGGCTTGCTTATTAAATTTGATTTACTTGCTCCCTTGCTGTTGCCACATAATTACACTTTCTTTGACGGAGTTTCTCAGCAAATATTGATGGGTCTTTTGTTCCGAGCGTGATGGTTTCTCTTTCTAATTTATCTGAGGCAGCAGCAGCAATTCGCTAATAGGGGTCCTCCAGTCATTATTTGTACACCACTCAGTTTAAAAATTCAATTAGAAGTTGCTCTCTTATGCCCAGAGTGGGAGATGTTTGATTACACTGTTGAATTTGTCTCATTATGGATCATCAGAGACTGTGTGCACTCCAGATTTACTTTTGTTAGGGATTTATCTGATTTCTGTGAGGGCAGAGATTGAAACTCATTAGCCAATTTGATGTGGTCAGCTATTTGAGGTTTTTGTGGTTATTTTGCAGCACCCAGCCGTTATTTTCACATGATTTAATCAGTGTAGCAACAGTGGATCACTGTGTCTAATGGCTTCTAATGGCCATGTGGCACTTTAGTAATTGGAGGCTGTAGAGCCATCACATCTCACATCTGTCCTGCTGCCATCAGATGGCTGCAGGGAATTAATGAACTGAACGGTAACCCCAGCTGGTCGAGGCAGACAGCCACCCACCTAGAGCCGGGGTCTGTTCGAGGTTTCGGCCTCTTAAAAGGACGTTTTTTTCTTGCCACTGTCGCCAAGTGATACATGTTACTAAAAGCTAACTTTGGTCTGATCAGCCGCTGCTCAATGCAGATGTTGCTCTTCATCACAAATGAATAATCAAATCAAGCAGTTAGTCTCATTCAAATGCTGCTCTGTCCTTATTTTTGCATTAAGCTGGATTCATACTTCTGCATTAAGCCAGACGTACAGCAGCACAATACAGCCTGATCATTTACAACACTTGCGTCTTGCATTGCAGTGGGGGAAATGTGACTATAAATCAAAACCTGCACTGTTAACCGACTGTGAATCCTATAAAAATAGACCTTTCAAAACAAATTGAAATTACGTGTGGAAGAAAAAAAAAAAAAAGATATGGAAGCTAAACATAGGAAAGCTGCTTCAGACAGAGGAGATTAATGAATTAGGCTATAATAGAAATAGATCTTTTACTTGACAGAAGAAAAAAAGGAGAGAGATTCTGTACTCTCCACCTTCCTCCATCAGAGTGCTGAAGTCCTTACTGTGATTAGTGCTGTCTGGATGATGGCAGATTCATGACAAGAAGAGTTAGGGGAGGATGATGTCGACAAACTGGCAGATCTAAATTGGTCTGTGGTTACCTAACACATGGACAGTCTGGCACAGATCAATAATTGTTTAATTCATGTTCGTGTTTTCAGATTTAAATATTATCACTCGTTTTGCTTCAAGCGCCACTTCAAAGAGTGTCACTGGTCATGACTTAAAGGTCCAGTGTGTAACATTTAGGAGGATCTATTGGCAGAAATGGAATATGATATTCATAGGTATGTTTTCATTAGTGTATAATCACCTGAAAATAGGACTCATTGTGTTTTTGTTACCTTACAATGAGATGTTTTTATCTACAGAGGGAGTGTGTTGAACCTCTTTACGGTAGCCCATAATGGACAAACCAAACACTGGCTCTACATAGGGAGTTTGGCGATGTGCAGCCACTTTTCACTTGGAAAGCTGAGTATTTACATGGTTAAGACTCTCCAGATTGCTGATTATCATTTCTAAGTTTATTAAGTTGTTTTTGTTTATGAAGCATGAAAAGGTTTGTAAAATGGATTTATGATCAATGTAGCCTTAAGAAACTTGGGAAACAGGACCAAATTTATTACTGTCCACCAATATTTTGCTTTCCCACTTTTGCACCATTCATTCTTCTCTGGACATGAAAATACCAGAAAGGCAGGCAGAGTTCTATTCAAGGTCCTGAAAATACGTAAGAGTGGTACTCTTACGTATCTCTCATAAGATTTTTCCTTTTACAACAAAGCGTGTGCTTTTATTTGAGCCACATACACCATGACATAACATAATATACATAACTGAGAAATGGTATGATAACACCCCATTATCTTTCTGCTCAGGTATATGGCACCAGAGGTCCTGGACGACTCCATAAATATGAAACACTTTGAGTCTTTCAAGCGAGCTGACATCTACGCCATGGGCCTGGTCTTCTGGGAGATCGCCAGCCGCTGCTCGATGGGAGGTGAGGATTAAATGAGGGGTGGGGTTGACAGATTAATGGAGGGGGTGATGGATGGATGGAGCTCAAGAGGAAGAGAGTTAATTATGGAAGTATTGACACACCAGTATCTGCATAGATGGAGGGGGATGTTGCATGCATACCACGTTAATGTGAAGTATTTTAACATCAATTTTTCCTGTCAGGCATCCATGAGGACTACCAGCTTCCCTACTACGACCTGGTTCAGTCAGATCCGTCAGTTGAGGAGATGAGGAAGGTGGTTTGCGAGCAGAAGCTTCGGCCCAACATTCCTAACCGCTGGCAGAGCTGTGAGGTAGGACAAGTCACCTTTCAAAGATGTTGGATGCCTCAAATGAGACTATGGATAGGCTTCAGTGCATCCTTTGAAAGCTTTGCACTAAAGTAAATGTATGAGTAGACCAGCTGTTGTTTTGTATTGTATTCCCTTGTATTTTGTTTAAAATACATAAAACAAAGTCTTGTTTTGTTCAGGAATCTGTTATTTTTAGCCTAGGTAGGCCAGTTGTATCCAGCAGTAAGTCTGAACCCCCTGAAGCCCTGGAGTCCTTCTTGATAACAGTGCTCAATCATAAGATATACACACACAGGCGTGCTCATTCCCACAGTCCCCAGAGAGGAAGCAAGCACTCAGCTCGCGGAAGGAGAAAGCGTGTGTGTTGTATCCCGTGCAGTCTCAGGTTTCAGTTTTAACCATGTTGCACACACACACTGGTTTGTTTACTGAGTTTGGAGTCATTACAATTCCATTTGAGCTTATTCGGGGAAAATGTAAGCAGCAGTGCTATGTCAAGGCAGATACCTGACCATCAGGTTTGGAGTCTGTCTGCAGTTGTTTTATTTATTCATTTTTGTTGACCCTTAAGTTAGTAAGTCTTTTTTCCAGGGGTTGAACCTAGGGGTGCAAGAAGATATCCATACACTTAACTATCACAATATTTATTATTTATATTGTTGGATGTTAGGGACTGTGATAAATACAAATGCATAAAAAAGTAAACTTTTTTACTCTTACTCTCCTTGTTTTATGCATATGGTGGTGTGTTTTTTATACTATGACTATTTTCCAGAGTTTAATTTAATTCTTTTAAATGGCAGTATAATCAATTGTAACCCTGGTATGGTGATACATATCGTGTCACCAGATTCTTGCCAGCACACAGCCCTTGTTGAACAGTCACACACAGAGATAGAGGAAATGACTGGCGGTTCTGTTTTTCTCAGTGAAGATCTCATATGACATCTGTCATTACTTGAGCTGACAGTTAAACACTATTGATAAGTTCCAACATGGGTAAGCAGCCTTAGCTCTGTTCCTTCGTTGTACCCCCAAACAACCAGTGTTTGTCTCAGAAATCACAGGTAACCACCCATTGTTGTAGTTTTAATGTGTTCTGAAGTTACTGTCAGGTTATTGCAGCAGTAGGAACTGAAGTTCCAGGTAGTTGTGTCTTCTTTAGTCAGTTCGGGAGGAGCACTCAGTGTGTTAGCAGCAGGCTAACAGCTGGGTTTTGGCCGTGTGAATCAGACAGTGACATGTGCCATAGACAATACACCTTTTTAACAGCAGCCACTTTGACATGAAATAGTTGGTAAACACAGGTGTTACCAATGCCAATACTAATTAAGGTTCCATTCCATTTAGTGTAGCAGAACCTTCCCTGTGAGACAACATGCACAATAACAATACCCTGACTCCACTGGAGCTGAATAGAACTGAATTAGTATCACTGGTAACCCAACTATATCATATCAAAATGACTGCTGTGAAAAAGGTCTATTTAGTCTAATTGAGCTGCTTGGATTAATGTAGTGTTGTTATGTGTATATTCTTGGGATTATCCCTCTCTGCAGAAATGAGTAAATAATATGCACAAATTTGTGTTATTTCATTTTCTTCCCGTGACATCTCCAATGCTCTGTACCTCTCACATTTTCTGTCTGCACTTCGAAAATCTCCTTCATTGAGTGGTTATTCTTGTCCAGAAGTGCTGTAGCAGTCAGCCATTCTTTGGTAGCTGCTGTCCTTTCTCTGTTCCAGTTCGTTTCAGCTGAATGTCGAGAGTCCTCTGAGTTGTTTGGAGGGTTATTGAGATCACCTGTCGCACACGGTCTGGGGACTGGCTCCTAACTAATGACAGAGAGCAGCTTGGTCCCTTCCCCTCTCAGCCAATCAGGGTGTGACATTGTCCTTTAATTGGGCCTTAAGGGAGGTGGGGATTGCACCCCCAGGGCATTCTGATCCTTCCTAGGCTTACTGTAGACCTCATTTTACCACAAATACTATAGTTAGGTCAAGTTGCGTGGTAGTAGATCCAGCTCTAGTCAGTTTGCTTTGATTGGACCACACAGTCTCTACCTCTCCACACTTCTTTTTAAAACAGACTCTGTTATAAGCAGCTTACTCTGCTGCCCACTCACACTGCTTAAAGCTGGTATAAATGCTCATCACATAACATTAGAACTTACAGTCTGTTTTTATATTTTGACCTTAGCCATCTTTTTGTCTGGCAGCATGCACATGGCTGTGATATTTGTACTGTAAAGTGAATCGTCTACTTTTAAAGGTACAATTTCTTGCTTGGTCTTCCATTTTAATACACAAGGCAGTGTTGTACCATAGCAATCATATATCCACACATCCGGCCCCAAAGATGATCCTGAGAAATACCCCTCAAAACACGGGATAATGAGGCAGCGTATTGACTGCACCTGTGGTTTGTTTCTTCTTCTTACAGTGAGCTTAGCAACCCCACTACCTTGTATCTTAATTAAACCCATGGAGGCTTTATGCCTCTCCATGTTTAATCTTCTCCATCTTAGTGGAATCTTAATAGAGCGCTGATGTTATGGGTTCACTTTTGTTACATTAGCTTTCAGTTCTCTGTATTTCTCTGTACACAGTTTCTTTAACTCTGAATAGTTAAGTATAGTCCTTAAGGAACCTTACTCAGTGAGTAAACTGACTTAAGTGACACATTTTATGGATATTTCATATTCTATTTAATGTATAACAATAACAGTAGAGAACAGCTGATAAACTGTACAATGAACCCAAACAGTGAACACAATAACTGCAGGAAGTTTGTTTAAAACATCAAAGATGAGTTTTCCTAATATTTTTAGGAACTTTTTATACAATTCTGTATTCGTCTGTATTATATATTTTCTTCATTTTTGATAATCATACATATAAATTTGGTGTTTTCTTCTAATTGACTGGTCTGTCAGCCCTTTGGCAGTTTTAACTGTGTACCTTTCTAATGCAGGGCTGAGCAGAGAGCGACTGGCTCTGTGAATAGAGATTGTGTTTATGCCGTTGTAAATATGGTATCCATGGTTACAATGCTAATAGGAACCTGTAGCAGCTAATGCAGAATGACTATGATTTATACATTTAGGTATTTTTTATATTCATTAAGCAAGTTCACTCCTCTATAACTTCATTAGTTGTCACATGATTTGTTGTGCAGCGCTGCGACAGAGAAGCTTGACTGTTGTTGCAGTGGTGTTATTTGTACCTCCTGATCCACTTTGAAAACCTTTGCAAGACTTGACGTTAAAAGCTGAGGTCAGGGGCAGACTTAAGTCTATGCAAAATGTTCGAGAGCTTTTCAAAGTCTGTCAATAGCTCTCTCATTTTGTGTTGTGAACACTTCAAATTATGAAATATTGTATGCCATTTTTGTCTACTTTCACATACTTTATCATAGACACTTCAGGCCAACTTTATCTTCATCTTGGCCTCTTCTAATTATATACACAAGCTCATTTTTTACTACCAAAAAATCATGCAATATGGATATGCAATACTATTTTCCAACTGTTCCGACTATTTGTTTTCACCGGGCCCTTAACGGTTACATATATAGTAAATATTTTACAGATATAATAAAGTAGCTAAACTTTTACATAAATTGAAAGAATAAACAGCAGTACAAAGCAATTGAACACTCCATTCATATACATTCCAACTACTTCCGGTTAGGGTACTTTCAGCTTTGTTTTCCACCCCTCGTATATACTGCTGAACAGATCCTTAAACTTTGAGCAGATCATCATTTCACTACCTCATTGTTCATTGGCATGAAATCTGCTGTACACATCAGGGAGAACCCTGTGTAACCACAAATGGTGATAAGTATATTGTGATAATGGTTGAACTGGCATGTAATGTGCCTCCCAAAATGAAAACATCTCTTGACTCTGGAGACCCCTTGATGTTCCCTGCAGTCATCATCAGGTCTGTGCGTCAATACTATCTCCTGACGCTGCTGCTACAGTATATAAGGAGGGGATTGGGTTTCACTGTCTGGTCTGGAAGTAAGCTCACACACATCATAGGAACAAAACGAGCCCTCGTTGTGGTGTTACTGTGGCACAATGAGCCACAGTAATGGTATCCGTGCCGAGACCAACAGGTTTAACAAGATGGAACTAGACAGTACCTGCAGATGTTAACCCAGCTCATTCTATTATTACCACAGCAGTGGGGAGTGATGAAGATTGTGCCTCCCTCTGAATATTCCACAATGTTGAAAACCCCCAGAATTTAGTTTTTATTCTATATTTAGATCACTGTAGTGCCGTGTTGATGCACTCTGTCAAGTGTTAACTTGTTTTTGCAGAATTTAAAAACAAGTGTGACCTTTTGCGAGAAACATCTTAATGAGCTACCAGACTTCAGCACAGACTTGGAAGAAATGAAATCGGTGCCTGACATGCAAAGTAATTGGCTTCTAAGAACAACATGTACCAAATGATGCAGTCTTTTAACAAGAACGAACACCATAAAGTGCAGGCAGTACAATCAAAAACCTCTACACATGCACATTCAAAGTCAACTTGTACGAGCTACACTGTGCAGCAGACTTCATCCTGATTGGCCTATTTTTTTTAAATCAGTTTAGTTCCAGACAAACACAATATAATAACTCCTACATTTCCTTAACTTGTACACTGTGAAACATATTGTGTGTGTGTGTGTGTGTGTGTGTGTGTGTGTGTGTGTGTGTGTGTGTGTGTGTGTGTGTGTGTGTGTGTGTGTGTGTGTGTGTGTGTGTGTGTGTGTGTGTGTGAAGTGCATCACAGTTTGTTGGTTCTGCAGCCCCATACCAACAGCCTGTGATGCACTGTGTGTTCTGACACCTTTCTGTCAGAGCCAGCATTAACTTTTTCAGCAGTTTGAGCTACGGTTGCTGTTCAAAGTGTTGATTTTAACAGTGGCCTTCCCATGAGGGATTTTTTTCGTCTGCTAACCATTCCACCATTTAGCCCATAAATAGTAAATGATGCTTTGTCTGAAAGTGTTTGAGTCTGAAAGCCTTCACGTAAGAAATATGCTTCAGCTAGTTCTGCTGAGAGAGTGTGTGTGTGTGTGTGTGTGTGTGTGTGTGTGTGTGTGTGTGTGTGTGTGTGTGTGTGTGTGTGTGTGTGTGTGTGTGTGTGTGTGTGTGTGTGTGTGTGTGTGTGTGTGTGTGTGTGTGTGGCAGTGAAGAGTTGGCACTAATCCACTTGATGAATGGTGGACTGGAATGTGTTGGCTGTCTTAATGAGCACTGTAGGAAGTTTCCAAAGAGGGAGCACTGGCATCTCAGCAGACAGTCACTGTGAGAGACTGAGACACATACAGACATGTTGACTCATACGTACCAGATGCTGTTTACAGCCCTGCTAAAGAAGACGTGAAGGAATTAGCGTAAACTCTGGAGACTTGAACCTATTTCAAAGCCTGTTTTCAACATCTTATCGGAAATAACCACTTTAGTGAATCAAAAGGAAAATACTTTGTTTTACATTTCCCAGAACATACAAATAAAACCAAGCAAAGTTTAAGTAAGACAAACTGGAAAAGAACTGATTGAAAAAGGACAGAGGCATGTTTACTGTTTCAAGTGTTTTTCTTTAAAACCAAGCAAGCAGGTCTCAGGAAACAACAGCTGATAAATAGCAGATGAAATTATTTTATTTTCACCAGTTTTATACCTTGGAAGTATAAAATCTCTTGGATCAGAAGTCTTGTGTCCCTAGCCACAGGACTCAAGTTTAACTCTTTTTTTTTTTTTTTTCTCTTTGTTTTCCCCAAAAAAAACTGATCCATCTTTGGTTTAATGAAAACTAAAATAATCCAAAAAAAACTGTAAAAAGGATCTAACTACTAACTAATTCATATGGTGGGCAGCTGTGGCTCAGAGGTAGAGTGGGTCGTCCACTAATCAGAAAGTTGTTGATTCGTCATCGTTGTGTGAATGTGAATGAAGGAGTTAATAGTTTCTGTTTGATGGGCTGGGAATCTTTGCAGCACTACAGTACTTTATTACAGTGCTGTTCTGTCACACATTTTATCGTTATCAAAAAAAATTGCAGCTGATTTGGATATTGCATTTGGCCGCATTTGCTTATGTGTCCCTGGAGTACTGGCAACACATTCAGATGGGTTTGATATAAATGTAGGCCTACCGTAGCGAATTATGATTTTAAAAGTAGATTACATTGTGTAATGCATACTTAATGAAGAGTACTATTACAGGTTACATTACACTAACATGAGTAGGGCTAGGTATTAAGAACCTCACGATTCGATTTTGATTCTTTAGGTCACAATTCGATTCTATATCGATTCGATATTGATTTTAAATGCTTCGATATCGATTCAGTACTAAGCAAATTACAGCTTCGGGACAGCGATTTCCGTCATGCGTTTGCGTGTTGGTATGGCATATCGTGGTTCGAGTGTGTATACCATCTTCTTAAAACTCCCGTTTTCCACGACACTGTACGGTCGTAGGTCCTTACATATGAAGACGGCCACAGACTCCGTTATCTTCTGTGCGCGGGCAGAGTTTGGTGGCAGTTTGCAAAGGAAGGATCTGTCGAGTTGCGTCTGTTTTGAATCCACAGGTTTAGCCGCGGGTTGCTGCAGAGCATCTGCATGGTGTCGGCTTAAGTGGTTGCACAAATTTGTTGTGTTATTGCAGTATTTTAGTACTGCCTGGCACAGCTTACACACTACCTTACTTTGGTCTGTTTCCTGTGTTCCGGGTTTAGAAACCTTCTCTAAACAGTGGTTTACAATCTTATAAGGATATGAGAATCTTGACAATGATGTTAAGTGGGGGTTGATATGTATTAACACTTTAGGCCTGGGACATCTCCAGCCTAACTAATAGGCAAGCACACTTGGTATTTATTAGTTGTTGTTTCCTGAACACCTTATGATTGTGTCTCTTCCTATACGTTCTAAATGTCTTTATTGCCGGATTTCAGGAGAATCCAAATAGGAAAATACATATGAAGAAATCAATCATAAACATCAGTACAATACTTGAAAAAATAAGTATTACTGTGAGATTTAAAACTCTGTGGGATTTGCTGACCTGACCCCCAGGTTTAGACTGTGCTATAATAATAATAATAATAATAATAATAATAATGCCAAAAGCTCTGTCACTAGTCTTTTGAGCATTAAACAGCTAAGAGACCATGCTCCTAAAGGGACCACTTAACTTACACAGACTCACAAATTCCCTGATGGAAGATTGAGCCAAGTTAGTAATGAGACACATTTTAAATTCTGTTGGCCCTCTGAAAAGCAGCTGTTGAGCTGCTAATGAGGAGCCAAATAAAAATGTAAATCCAGTACCTAAAGCTGAATATGATAAGTGTTAGAATGCTGAAAGGTAATTAAATGCACAGGTATTGTGCCATAAAGGAAGTAAGTAGATTGAAAATGTAATGGGACCAAGAATTTAGCCCTGAGGACCCCACAGACCATGGTGACATAATGCCCATCTGTGTTTAGCCTAGCTTAGCTCACTACATCATATTAAATTTTGTCATGTCTCTCCTCTGCAGGCCTTGCGGGTGATGGCGAAGATAATGAGGGAGTGTTGGTATGCCAACAGTGCCGCCCGACTCACCGCTCTCCGAATCAAGAAAACCCTGTCTCAGCTCAGCCAACAGGAGGGAATCAAGATGTAGACACAACTACCAAACACACACGCACACACACCTCTGACTGGCATCCATATCGTTAGCATTACAGCATTATTATCTTCATTATTATTCATCGATTTGTTCCTCCCCTTTGGTTTGAAGGGAAGCAAAGACTTTTTTTCCCCCTTGTTCTCTTTTTTTTCCTAATCCATTTCATTCATTGACATACTGATAAGTCCTGCAGCTGAGAGTGAGGAACCGCGTGTGTATGTGTGTGTTGCGCTGGGCCGACATACACACATGAATGGATGGATGGATGGATCAAATGAGGGATGGTTGTGCCTGATGGGGAGGACCGAGGCAGTAAGGAAGCCTCCACTCATGATGCTCCTTCTTCCTTTTCTACATTCATCACATAAAGTCTCTGAAAACTGCAACTGGTTTCCATCTCAAGTCCCGCCCCCACTGCTCATCACACACCTAACCAACAAGAGCTCAAACCCCATCAGGTAAACAAAAGGCCAGACAGGGAATCATCTGGGGGGCCTCTGAGCTGCCAGAGCTTTGCTCTCATCTCCTCTCATCTTCATCACCACCCTCTCATTTGTATATTAGCATTTTATTCTTTACTTCAGAGAGTTATGCTACTCTTCAGTAGGGCTGCAAGTTGCTCATTTACATCTTTATATAATGTGATTTATGGAATGTTAAGATTTCCTCTCATTACAAACACAAAAATGTGTTTAAAAAATCTAAATGGAACGATCCAAATCATGTGATCTGTCATTAGCCTAATACATTCTTAAATGAATGTAAGCATGTGCACTGCTCCCACATAACTAGTGTGTCCTGTTGTTAGGTTAACCACTACAGGAGATTACATTCTAGTTTTCACTACAGTAAGGGATGTACTGGGAGGCAGTAAAAATTCATTTAATACACACCTAACAGTCCATGTATGGCAGCATAGAAATGCCTTAGGGAAAACAACCTAATTGTGAAATGTAACCACTCCTGTGTGTTAACATTAAATTACCACTTAATTTGTAGCACTTCAATATTTAAACTTCTGACTGAATCAATTATCCGAATTAATGTGGTTTGAATTGTAGTCCAAAACATCTTAAACCAAAAAGATCAGCCCAAACTGGAATGTTGAAAACTAGCTGCTAAAATTCAAGATGAAAAGAATAAGCAGTCGAGATTGGATGAAATCTTTTGGACCTCTGTCCTAACAGATTCAGTGTTTTGATGAACAGATGACACAGATAGCCCAGTCAGAGCCTCAAACCTGCCAATCGTCATAAAAGTAGCCTCATTTTTTATCCAGATGGAGTTTATCATCGATCTAAGAAAATAAAGCAACTTGGTCCCAAACATTTGTTTTATTAGTGTAAATCCAAACAGGGGCGGAGCTAGAGGGGTGGCCGGGGTAGCACTGGCCACCCCTGGAACTTGATTGGACACCCTGGGTGCGACCCCAGTGGATTGACAGGTCACTGCACGTCACGTCGAAAACAGCGAGATTTTTAAACGCAAACAGAGAAGGCAGAATAAAAAGATAACAATGAAGAGGAAGGGAGATATTTACAACTTTCTTGCTAAAAAAAAACAAATCAGGCACAGACAGACCCCAGCCCAGATATCAGCAGCCCGGGCAGCTCCCCACAAGAAACTAGCCTGGCAAGTCATTAATTAATTCTCATACCAATGGCGTCTTTATTTGATCCTTGAGCCGAGTCTTGCGTCTTGTGTCCGTGATGTGCAGCCTTCTCTTTGTTTTGCCAAGACACCGGCTTTTCCCACGGGTGTTTTTAATTTTCTGAATGAATGACGGTGCGCCGGCTTAATTGCTGCGCCAGAAACTGAAAGTGAAACTTAGGTCCATTTCCTCCAGCCACTTTCCTTCCGTCATAAAGCTCTTTTTCCTGAGTTTAACTCAACAGTCAAGAAGGCATGTTCAGAAAGGTTAGATTATATCAGTGTCAGCGCCAGGTTAGCTCAGTTGGTAGAGCTGGCGACCCATGTACGGATGTTGCTGCAGTGGCTCGGTATCCAGGGATTTTCCTTTATTAGGCCTAGTATATGGCCCCCCTCATAAAGCCTTGACCACCCTCTGGCCACCCCTTGTATAAAAGTCTAGTTCCGCCACTGAATCCAAAACCGTGCTGACAATACTTAAAGATCATCCACCAAATCTTTTAAATAACATTACAAAATCTTCACTTAAATTCACAGATGTAGGCTTTTAAAAATCTTTTATCCATATTGGAGAAAGACACTTCAATCCACAAAGAAATGCATGCAACCTGTATTCAGAAACTGTGACTTCAAGCAGGCTGTCAGTCCAACCCTTTTTTGTCGACACACCACAATACCAAGCGACCATTTCGCCACTAAGCTAGCAAAACACAAGTCGAAAAATGTTTGGATGTCAGGAAGCCAAAATATCATTGCATATTCTTCCTAAAGATAGTAATATTAGAGACTAGTGACTATTTATTTTTTCAGAGCATTTTAGTCCAAATTTCAGTGTCTCTTCAGTGCTGGCTGCTTCCACAGTCTGACACAATACAATGCAGGTTTCTTAAAAAAATACTACTGATGAGTTAGCTCAGTTAGCCATTCAGCTAACCGTCCAGTCTGGGAGGTCACAGCACCGGCTATCACGGTAGTCCAAAGTTCCTGTACTAGAAGTGTAAACACCCACACTCCCTCCAGTCTTGAAAAGAAACCAAAATCTGACAGCACTGATCAGGTAACGTTCTATCAGTCATGATCTGAGATGTTCACATGAGCTTTTTGAAAAGAATTCACCACATAAATTTAGACAGATGATTTTCAAAGTAAAATGTTTCTGTGCTTTAAATTCAGTGGTGTTTTTAAATTTCAGTATTTAGTTGAGGTTAGAATCAAGACATTGGGTTACTTATTACGTTTTTATTATAGCCCTTTTTGGCTTCCGTATACATGGAGCAAGCAGAGCAGTTTAATATCAACAGCTGTAAGATGTATTAAATGTCAGAAAAAGGATGTTTATTTTGAAATTACCAATTCCTCTTAATCTCCTTGCTAACAGTGAGTCAGGCGTGATCAGCATTAGGGAAACCGTTGTGATATGAGGTTGTTTGCAGCCCTACTCTTGAGTCGTGTTACAGTAGCATTGGGAACTGAGGCGAGGACCAGGGGGTTATGGGACAGTCTGTAAGCCGCCCTGTGGGGTCCATACAAACAACGGCTTCATCTGTTCTTCATCTAGTCGGGTTGTACGCAGAATCTCTCATCTCTGCAACAGTTTTGCACCTGTTTTTTTTTTTTTTTTTTCTCATTTGTTACTGTTGTATTTCCCGACTCCCTGCATACTGGCAGGGAGTCGGACAGGTCAGTTTAATTTATTGTGTTTTTAAAATTTTCTTTCTGGTGGCAGGGGATCTTTTTTGCAAAACTAAACTGGACATGATGACCTCATTCATTTTTGGCGAACATGCTGCAACATATGCAATATACAGTAGATAAATGTGTCTATTTTCTATACTCTGCTCTGCTAAACCACAAACAGCAAGAACAACAACACCAACAATCAGCTGCCACCATGCCTTCAAAGCCAGCTGTTACCGGAAAGTGCCAGTGCTTTAAAAACCCAACTCCTCTCATGTCGGCTGCCGTGGAGTGCGTTTGCTCTCGCGTGTATGCAGCTCCGTGCGTGTGTGTGTGTCGGAGAGAGGCCCGCGGGAGCCATGCCGAGCACACAGCAAGCTCGTACTATGCACACCCAAGAAGCAGGGACGGAAAGCAAGAAGGGGCACACACACTGCACATCACGAGCACCCACAACCCAGCCGACTCTCTGGTGCCATTTCGTCAACCCCCCTCCCCCCTCACCTGAACACCCGACCACCTCAGCAACAACTCATCGTACAGCTTCTCCTCCCGGTGGACAGAGTCTGGAAACCGAGCTCCAACACCTCAAACTGTGTTTAGTTGGAAAAAACGATGCCACAAAAGCTCACCGCAGCTTTTCGAAAAGAGACACAAAGACTTGTAAGCATTACTGATGTTGCCCTATAAATGTAAAACTCTTGGATTTCAGATTTTTGCTCTCTTCACATGTTTGCGCCGTTGACAGCGCAGCAGCGCGAAACAACCTTTCAAGCGTTTTCTTCTTTGTAGGATAATCAACAAAAATGAGGTACATTCATTTAAATATAGCAAATGGATATTTACTAAGCCATAGGTTTTCCAGGTTGTGTATTTTTTTTTTTTTTTGTGGCAAGGTCTTTTTCTACTAGAATGTACATTTACGTAAAACAAAAGATGAAAAAAATATGCGTAAAATTGACAATTTTGTCATTTCAGCTTAGCAAGCCTTAAGGGACCAACGCATAAGAGTCAGGATCTACTCTTATTTTATTATTCTTTTTGTTTTGTTTTGTTTTTTATGAAAAAGATTATGATTGATAAAGGTAGTGTCATTATTCTATCTAAAGGACAAAAAAATATATGTAGCACCTGATTTAACAGTTTGTTTCAGTCAAGTGTTTGTCCTGTTGCCAAAATTGCCATACATCTAAACCCATTTGATCTTATCTCACAGATTTGCTTGTGTCGGAGTTCCATCAAAAGCACTTGTCTTTTTGAACAAGTCCCATAATTAGATACAGTTCAAATAAAGTGACTGCAAACAGTCAATAATTAATACATCAGTACATACATCAGATCTGCTTAACAGTGATTTGCTCAAATTCCACAGTGTCTTGATTGTTCAGCAATAAGTGCACTTCTGAACCACTGCAGGGTTTACCTGTGTGGCAATTTGGATGTCGGTGAGTCCGTCTGTCTCCATTGCTTTTCTTTTGTGGATACATAATGTATTGATGTGCTGCTACTTCGTTGTCCACCTCGCTCTCCGAGTTGAGGTGAGAGCTGCCGTTGGATGTAAATATCCTCAGATTGCCTGAATCTGATCATTCTGTGCCATGTTGCTTTTGACACAAATCCAGCCCATCAGCATTTGGTCGGCAGTCCTCTCAAATGATTTGCTGAAGTGTGTTAAAGAGTTGTTGTCAGCCACCATCCATGGAAGTGCAGCAGTCCACCACCACCCCTCTGCAGCAGCTCATTTCACTGAGGAGTTCTTCCTCTCTGGTTCAAAGTGCTGGTCAGTTCAGTTAGAATGGAAAGCTGCAGTCTCCATTGAGCATGGTTGAAAAACATGGTGCCAATCTATCAGTGGGCATCGGAGTTCTTTCCAATCTGATGCCCACAGTTGGAAATGCATTGAGACATATTTTTCTCTACTAGAAGCCCAAGCTTAGAGGGGTGGGAGAGCAAATACATCCAATTATTTCTGAAGTGGTGATTTGTTTAGTAAAAAGCTCTTGTTCTCTATTAAAAACAACCCTGTTGATGCCATTGTAGCAACTTATAATGAAACACCAAATGGATAATGTCATTTTTGTAAAATTATACAAACTCCACGGCTAAAAAAAAAAAAATATTTGAGGATTTAATTCCCAGACAATGTAATAGCTGTTCCAGTGCACCTCTTCCAAGGCAATGATGGCCTGTCAGAGGCAGCCTAGTGCCCATTACTTGGCAGACAGCCCTTTTTGTTGAATGACAATTCATCAGTGAAACAGTCACAGAAACACTGAAATAGAACAAAACCACTCCAAATCAGATTGAAACATACAGAAACAAATAATTTCGTCTTGACCTCAGAAACAGCAAAACAGTCTCCAGTAGAGGTTCACTTACTTGCTTGCTCCAAAGCTTTCAACTGTATCACAGTCTTCATCAGTAGGGGAAGTTCAGTCAGCCAAGCAAAGGAAATGCCAAAGTCCACACAGTAGAGTGGGGACTGATGATTCCTTTACGCCAGGAAACGAATAGTAGTTCTCAGAACACAAGAACGTAGCTCGAAGCCTGTCTAGATGGATTGTAAATCCAAGATTGGCAGATTTCATCTGCTGATAAAGACAGCGTTACAGTCTAAAGCTCCTGAACAAATGAGTAAGTGGACCTTGAGCAAAGATTGCTAAATGTGAAGACATACTTACCTTTTTTTCCCCATTTCTAATGTGACAAATCTATTTTGTTTAAAATGACATCAGTTGCTACAGGCGTTATTCAGTGATTCCCTTTGTCGTCATTTAAGAAGACAAGTTGTGATGTACCCACCCGTACAGTTCCACTGTTCAGTCGCTCTTTTGAATGAAGTATTCTTAAATATGTAGAAATGGTTAACAGTGGCAGAAGTGACATATTAAGCCTTGTAAATATCTTGTGGAGTAAACAAAAGAAGAAAGCTATCCTGATATTTGAAGAAAGTAAAGTGGATATCGCTGCTATGTTGAATATAAAATAGAGTGACGGACTATGCTGAATTAAATGTTATATGTGTACAAAAGTGGTCAATCTAGTATTGAAAAACTGGGGTTTGCCAGGGACCAGGGCCAAGGATCCATCTTTGCAAGCCATGTGGGGGTTGTGGGGAAACAAAATTTCCAATTCTCACAGTATCCCTTTAAGTAAGCCCTGGCTAGCCCCTGCTGGGCCTTTTGGATAGGATTGAGACTGTACAGTATGTGTATTTCATTAGCAGTGTCATTCTCTGGGACATTAGCAACAACAAAAGCTCAACTCAACAGCACCTCTGGTATGCCTCTACTAGGACAACGTTCATTCTGTCTTAAAGTCACCAGCAGCCTTGTACTTTTTCTTTTCAAAACCCAAGATGACTTAACTGTAAAAAGATGTTTGCACCCGGCTGTTTTCTCTTGTGGTCTTTATACAGCAATCTCTCTGTCCTTGATTCTCTCTTGCCTTTCTCTCTTGTCATTCCATGTTCTCTAATTTACTAAACAGATATCTCCTAGCTACAAGGGCCACTTCACTGCAGCTGGTTCCCTGGCCTCGCAGCTCCATTTTGGGCTAAACCAACTCACATGAATCCCTGCCTACTTTTTTATCTCTTAAAAGTCAGATCCTAAGGCTGGGGTAGGTTTGAAACTCGTTTGTACAAGACGATGAGTCTCACCAATCGGGATAACAGCTCACACTGTCAGATGGTTTCTCCAACAAGTGACTGAAGTAGTCTGTTTCGAGAATGATTAAAGAGAGCAAAACTTTCTCAGCTCTGCATACCTGGCCAGTTGCTGAGGTGGGCATGCCCGTCAAATAGACGGTTTCGGACAAGCTCTGACAAGCATTGTATTATATTCTTACACTTATTATATACATACTGATTCATTTGAAAAAGTTCTCCCATCAATTTACATTGCACAACCTTGTCAAAGAAGGGACCTTCAAAGTAAGTGCAGCTGAAGATATCATCCTCTTTGTTCCTTGTCAAAAGCTGCAGCCTACATCACCCGCAATGCAACTGGCCCATCGACAGTTCAGTCAAAAATATTGGTTGTATTAGGCAGCAGTTATTCTTTCTGCAAGATTGTGAGCGTACACTGGGGTCTGGGTGACATACATTTTCAGAGGGTGTACGTGTAGGCTCTGTGCGGACAATCGCATACTGCCAGTTTGTCGTGACTGCGGACTGTTGCACGTGGACTCCTGAAAGTAGTATAAGCAGAACTACCATGCTGCTGTCCATGTACACATCCTTGTGGGAGTACACTCAAGCTTTTATGCTATTAGTGGCTAATGTGACCTCGAACTGCTAGCCTCAAGTAGAGATGAAGAGTAAGCTACAGAGGTCTGTCAAGCTCACACCCCCAGATCTTTTCATTTTCTAACTCAGTCTTCATCCCCAACTGATACATCATTTTAGTCAGTGTCAGCTGTCGACTTTACTCCCCAACACCTGGAAACACACTTTTATGGGCATCGGTTGAGTTCCCCTTTAAGGACTGTCCAACAGTGTCTGTTGGATGGCTGGAGCTGTGTCTGAAACCGGGGGTGCTACAACCAAAATTGCCTGTACATTTCTGAAACCACCACCGACAATAAACAGCATGATTGTCTTTGAAGAAAGACTGTCTAACAGTGTGCTCTGTTATCTCCACATATGTATAATTGATATCCATATATATCATTTCCCCCCACCTCTGATTGTGGCCGTATTTAACAGCTCTTGCCTGCCTCGACGATGTACAAGCTAGTCTGTTTGGGACATACATTGGCCTTGGGGTTATAAAAGGGCCCGTACTATAGGCTGTCCCTCCTTTTGTCTGGAAAGATCGGGATTGAATCTGTAAATCCTTCATTTGTGGGTCTGGTGAACAGTTTTTGCTTAGATCTCTGTCTTGGCCATGATCCATTTAAAAACTAAATTAACGAAGAAAACGCTGTACCTCCTCTTTGAGATTCTTACTTGCCTTCTCTCTCCTCAGCTCACATTAAAAGGGGTGGGGGAGGTCACTGTACACTGTTGATATGCAGCCACCAAGCAATTCCAAACCTCGGTTCACTGGTCGACGCGGTTGAAGGTTGGGAGCAGCAACGTGGCCGAGCCGTTTTGTGACTCAAACCCGATACAGAGAGCACTCTTGTTTGTTAGGTCTGGTCAAATATGCAGCCTTTTTTCATGCTATTCTTTTTATGCCAAGAAAGGTGCAAAAGGAGCAGTTTTTTCCTGCTCCGTGTGCATTGATGGAGGGTCAAAACAGGGAGGTAACATAAACTATGCCAGCAGCTCTAGCGCTTCAAACCACGCACTGAGTAATTCCCACAGCTGTGAATGTATCGGCCCTCTCAGAGTCTCCAACCAATCCGAGCACAACCCGCGTAACTCAGCCCAAAGGTAATGGCAGCAACTTTTTGAGCATGCAAATATCCACCGCACGGGTCCGTTTCTATCTCTCTTTTTCTCTTGTTATGCAAAGTCTGGGCCAATCAGTGTCCGCCCACTCAGTCCCTCTGGATCACACAGGTTGAACGACCTATCTATGCTAGCATGATCCACACACTGTGATGAGGAGCGCGTTAGGGTCGAAGGATTATCACGTTCATGGTTGCCCTCCATCGTATCAGAGACCCACTGCGTGACCCCAAAGCGTCCGCACTGGTCAAGCATCAAGGTTGGCGCGAGGAGCGGTTTGGGTCACTAAAGGGTTCAGGCTTTTGCTCAGCTTCAACGGTTTTCCTCTCCGGTTCGATGCTGCAGTGAGGCCTTTATGGCAACAAGGGTAGCAGAAAGCTTTATCATGTTTTATTTGGTGCCTAAGTTTGACAAGACTTCTTTTACTTTTCACCTCGAATGACAAGACTGCATGTGATTGTGTCTGCATTGATGTCTGCATTACTTGCTTTATAGATGTCATCCAAAAGCTGAGAAGTATCTTAAAAAGCATAATTAACATATTAAAAAGGTCACTTAATCAAAAAGAAAATACCTCCTTTTAAAGACCAATGTGTTTTACCTCACTGTATATATATTCTCGATTTGTTTACTCCAAGTTTGCAATTTACCTTTCTCTTTTGTTTCTATGAAATGCTTAAAAAAAGTTGAAAAGAATAATTTTCTTTTCAATGGTACTTTTTTTTGTCAGATGGCATTGTATTGTGTTTGTGTTGTGCCCAAGCAGTATACTATTCCTCTTTTACCATGCTCTGTATATGACCTGTTGGTTGTGTTCTGCGTGAGCTGTACAGTCAAAGCGCTTTACAAAATGTCCAAGCCCCCTTCTGAGCTCTGGTACAAATGCCTTGTTCAATATGTTCTTTTTGTTTAATGAAAAAAAGAGGGGAAAAAAGAGTCAAAGTGGAGATGGAGGAGGCTGGAAGTGAGGGGGAGGGACTGTAAAGCGAGAACCCCTCAACAACTGTCGAACCCTCCTCACCTCGCAACCCTCTTGGATTTCTAAACATATTATAATCTTGACTTTTTTATATAGTGTGTACAGATGAATGAGAGATCAACATAGGAACTAGAGGATTGACACTTATGTTAACTTCTAACATAGCTGGAGTAGAAAATTGTGTGAATAAAGAAACAAAGTTTCACTACAAGATACGTGTTTGTCTGCTTTATTTGTCAGTCAGTGGGCAGTCTGCTGTGTCACTTTTATACTAATGGTGTATCACATATATTAATGTATGTATAAGGGAACAGATGTGAAGTTGGGGAATAAGGGGTAAAAGTAACTTGTACTGTAGGTCAGTGGGTTCCCAGCCTTTTTCCTGAAGGGAGCCCTTTTCTATCACTTAGTAAACTGACAACCCCTGACTCAGTGACATGTTTTATGGATATTTCATATTATATTAAACTGTTCAATGAACCCAAACAGTGAACTCAGTAACTGCAGGACGTTGGTGTAAAACCAGAGGTTTGGATGAATTTGAGCGGATTATTTCCGGTTTAGGGAACTTTTTATACAATTCTCTCTGTATAATGTATTTATTTTGTATCATTTTTAACAATCATACAGACTTGTCTGTTAGATATTAAATATGAGACAATTTACTTACATCTTTACAGAAGTGAACCAGATATAAATGGCCTATATGCTGAGATATAAGCCTACTACTTGTATTTGGAAAGTTTTCCCACACACCTTGAAATCAAGAAGTCCTCGCGGCCCCAGGTTGGGAGCCTGTTCTAACATTGCAGGTACACATGACCATTGCTTAACAACACAAGATGTTTGTGTTTCAACAAGTTTGAGGGAAGATGGATAATGACTTCTATAGAATCTGCCATCATTTTCACATACAAGATGTTGCCTTGGAAAGTTGGTGCATAACAATTAAACATAGAAACATATACAAATATAATAAAGAGAGACGATATGTACAATAAGACCATATACTTAAATAAATGAGTGAAGAGCTATACAGGAATGTGCAACATATTGTCCTGAATCTGCAAGTTCACAGTGTCACATAGAATGATATTTGCAATGTCCAAGATAAAAACCAACGGGAAGTGCATTATTATATACATAGATTCAAGGTTGGTGGTGGGTTTAAGTGTCAGTGGGGGTCCATAGTTACATTACAGCTACCAATCAAACAATTATGTTATTACTTGCATTGCATAAGTTCTTCAATTATCTGGATAAATGGTTTGGTGAGTTAGTTTGACTCATTAAATGCAGTTCATGTTACCTGATCTCAAGCAACGTAGCAGAAGTCATCTAAGAAGTAGTGGAAACAAATGACTTTCTTCAGCCAGTAATAATTCTCTCTCTCTCTCTCTCTCTCTCTCTCTCTCTCTCTCTCATGAAAAGTGCATCCATAAGACTATTATATACCTATCTCCACCCAAATGTAAGTTATTTTACTTTTCCCCCACAAAACTCAGAATATAACTCAAACACTGTTTTGTTTTTATTGTCAAAGAACAATTTGAGTAGCCTTTATAAAAAAACCTCATAGTTGTGGTTTTATGGCACATTTACTGTTGGTTCACTCTCATCTACCTGTTTCCAGCTACAGTAGGCAGCTGTATTTAGGGAAGCGCTCAGATAAACCCACTGTACACCGGCTGCCTGGAGCATTTAGCAGCTAAAGAGATATATTTTCCTCTTAGATAACACTAAAGTAAATATTGGACTTGTATTCATCGGGTGGGCAGTAATACAACTCGAAATCAGTGCTAGTGTTGCTCTGTGTCAGCTGGATAAATACACTTTATAAAGTGATGATATAATATATATGGTCAAGCTGTCTTATTCTGCCACCTGCTAATCAGAAAATATATACAAAAATATTGCAACTCTCAAATGCCAGACTACAATTCCCACAACATATCAACGCATAAATCTAGTGTAAAAGAATGAATGCATTTAGTTAGACGCTTTATTTATTGAGAACGTTTTAGTCCAGGTCTGTCATGTCACTGCCTGTACAGCATACTGAGCAGCATATGGGAGCAAACAGAGTGATCAATGCAAATCTCCCACGGGGAATTTAGGGGACAGAGCACACAGGTGGGGGCTGAGCAAAGAAAACTGCCCTCAGGCAGCCAATAGAGCGGCAGTGTAGCAGCAACAAGTCCGTACGGGGCGGCCTGCTGAGAGACGCTTCGATCCGGATGATGGTGATGACAGTTTGCTACATTTCACTCAGAGAACTGGTAGATTAGGATGGAGAGCTGACTGAAAACAGTTCATTTTGGTGTCAGCGCTCTGTCTCATCACTCCCTGCCAGAGGTTTACATCCACACGGGGGCGTGTCCAGAGGGGGGCCGGGGTTGGCCAGCCTAAGTGCCACCCGATTACCCTCACTCCTTTCACTCCACACTGTCTTTCAGAGTCTGTAGCAGGCTCTGTTTAAAAGCTAGAATGAAGATACTGCTATCATATGAAACTAAATGGCCTAACGCATGTCATGTTATGACAATTCCATGGAATGGCGCCATTCCGGCGACAACGGCAGCCTGTCATTGCAGCTCCTACCATTGTTGTAGTTTCAGTGTGTTTTTGCTATTTTGAACTCTTTTCTTACTTTCTTACTTTGTTCAGGTCGCCTAAATACTTTTTTGGCGTTTTTGAGCACTTTTTGTTTTTTGTTTACGCTGGTCTCCATGGCGACGGGGAGTCGCATTGTTTACACCCGCGACCAGATGATCGCCCTGAGGTACCCGAGCATCCTGACCGGAGAGAGAGCCTCCATACCGGAGGAGCTGAGGAGGAGACGGTCTTATTTATTCTCCTGTACAGCACTTTGGTCAACTTTGGTTGTTTTTAAAGTGCTTAACAAATAAAGTTGGATCGGATTGGATTAGCATGCTAAATGTTAGCGTCATATTTAAATGACTAACGGTTTTGGCATGGACATTTTCAAAGGGATCCCTTGACCTCTGACCTCAAGATATCTGAGTTTCCCCTTCACAGACATGTACACTCAATGCTAATCCCATGCAGTTCTGGGCAAAGACCTGGAGTTTTGCACGTGGTATAAATGTGATATTTTGAATGAACTGCAGGAATGACTGGAAAGCTGAGAGCATACCACCGCTGCAGAAATGAATGCCCCCCTTGTGCTGCCCCGGTCCCCTGGACACGCCCATGCATCCACTGCAATCTCCACCATACTCAGACTTTGTCACTCTTTATGCTATCACCTGATTTCCTAAAGGCTTATGGCAGCCCCATGGGTCTCATACAGACTCTAAAGGTTACATTGTGCGTCTGTATGAGACCCTAGAAATTTAAAACTAAAGAAAAGGGGGAGAGAAAACATTTTTTAATTAAAAAAAATTTTAAGGGTTTTTTTTAAAAAAAAAAAAAAAACCCCAAAATTTTTGGAAAAAAAAAATTTTAAGTGACTAACCTGAGGCCAACATTTTGACAGATCTGAGAGTGAGAGCAACCAGGCACCGATCGCTGCCAAACAAAAACCTGGATACACAGGCTGTTCTGTTTGAACACAAATTTTTTAAACAAAGTTTTGAGGGCTGTTATTTTGCTATTTAGAACGCCGCAGCACGAGACTGAAAGGAAAAGGAAAAGAGATCTTTTAGTTTCTCCTTTAGGTAACCAGAGCTTGTTACAGCTCTGAAATGTAAAACAATGGGAAGCCCTTGTCATCTTTGAGCTCTGTGTAAGCTCCTCCTTGACCACATGCCATTAATGATGTTACTAACACTTCTCCCCCGGGGTTCTTCTCCTTCCCCCCCCCCGTTCTCCCTGAACCTGGGGGGGGCCCCCCCCCCCGGCCCCCCTTTACCCCCCTTTTTAAAAAAAAAAAAAAAATTTTTAATAAAAAAAAAAAAAAAAAAAAAAAAAAAAAAAAAAAAAAAAAAAAAAACAAACCACCCAACCCCCCCTTTCTTTTTCTTCATAACAAAAACCTTTTTCATAATCACAACAAAAAAACACCAAAATAATTATTGTTGTTGTTGCTTTTTTTTTTGTGCCCCCCTCTTTCTTTCTTTCTTTCTTTCTTTCTTTCTTTCTTTTTTTCTCTCTCTCCTCCCCCCCCCCCCCCCCCCCCCCCCCCCCCCCCCCCCCCCCCCCCCCCCCCCCCCCCCCCCCCCCCCCCCCCCCCCCCCAAAACCCCCCCCCCCCCCCAAACCCACCCCCCTAATCTCGATCCTTTTTCCCTTTAACATTCCCTTTCCCCTTCCCCTTTTTCCCTTTCTTTGTCCAAAAAGTTATTTTTTTTAAAAAAAATTTAAAAAAAAAAAAAAAAAAAAAAAATAATTTAAAAAAAAAATTTAAAAAAAAAAAATTATATAAAAAAAAAAAAAAAAAAAAAAAATTTAATATGCAATTAATAAGGCACTGTTCCATCAGTGCAACAGAGGTATGTAATACTTTCTGCTTTTATTAAATGATTATTTCCAAGTGCTTCAGCTTTGCTGTTTGCTATGTTGTTTAATGTCAAACTCTTCCTGAAGATATTTCACATTAAAAGCCTACCAGAAAGGCTGGGATTTTTCTGTTTAAATCCCTGAAAGGCTTTTAATGTGAAACACCTACATTGTACTGGGCTGGAGGTGGATGTCTCTAAACCTGGACAAATTAAAACAAAACTATCTACTTGGACAGATGCCACGAAAGGAAGGAGAGAAAATATGTTTTGTAATTGAAATATCCTTTAATGGGCCAGTGTGTCAGTTTTAGTGGCATCTGGCAGTGAAGATGCAGATTGCAACTAACTGAACATCACTGGTATTTCACCTGGGAATGAGAACAGGCTGTGAAGTGTGGAGAAAATATGTTGGTTTGCATAACCAAAGAATTTTTGCACAAACTGTCAGGAACTGTCTCAGGGAAGCTCATCTGCATGCTCGTCGTCCTCATCGGGGTCTCGACCTGACTGCAGTTCATCGTCGTACCCGACTCGAGTGGGCAGATGCTCACATTCGATGGCGTCTGGCACTTTGGAGAGGTGTTCTCTTCACTGATGAATCCCGGTTTTCACTGTACAGGGCAGATGGCAGACAGCGTGTATGGCGTTGTGTGGGTGAACGGTTTGCTGATGTCAACATTGTGGATCGAGTGCCCCATGGTGGCAGTGGGGTTATGGTATGGGCAGGCGTGTGTTATGGACAATGAACA